TAGGGAAACTAGAAGCTCTTGCTCTTTCAGCAATGGAAAATAAGCAGGTAGAGTCAGTTGCACCTAACAGAAGTTTCTGCTGTAGAAAGTCTCTTGTCATCTATGTGTTTATCTCTGCTCCGGCTGTGGGAAGGGACCATGTTTGTAAGCTGATGTCCTGATGCTTACGTGAGGGAGAGGCAGATGCATTTAAGCAGGACCTGAGGAGGACCTGGGGAGTGTGGAGCTCTGCCACCTCCTGTCTGTTGGTGGCTCCGTTCTGCTCTGCCACTTCCATGGGATTTTTTTTTTGCTTGCTTGCAACGTGGCTGAATCATTACAGAATAATGCTGTGTTCAAGCACAAGTATGTCAGCACTCTGTCAGGTCTGCACTCCCAATGAAGGCGTTCCTTTCCAGTAAAGGATCTGTTAGGAAGGGAAAAAAAGTGATGGTTATAATGCAAGCAGGAAACCCCCCGCTTTGTACTATATGGCAGCGTATTATTTATGATAGAAATAGAGATACTGAACTGTATCACTAGGGTATTTTCATTCAATGCACAAGAAAGGCACACGCGTTTGACCTTATGGCTGTTCATTAATTTCCTAACCTATGCTAACTTTGTGCAATAAATTTGCTTCCACGAATGCTTTTTTAAAAAGGGCTACTGTTAAACATGAAACGTTCTGAATCTTAAGAACTTCAGTGTACTGCAGATGTCAAAATGAGCTTTGATGTTCTGTATAGTTTCTTGCATGATGGCATTGAGGTTTGGGGGCACTTTTAAATCAAGTGGCAGCAGGTAATGGTGGATCAGCATTTGGCTCAAGACAACTCCTGATGTTCAGGTCTGGGGGCCTCAACTGAACCCAAGTGATTTGAGCAGGAATGTAACAAAGGTTTTATGTGCATTTTAGTAATCTTGTGTTCTAATTTTTAAGACTAGATTCTGATACAGTTACCTGAGCTAACAGCATTTTTTCCACAAAAATAGTGTAATTGATTTGTAAGTGCTATTCAGTGCAACACAGCCAGATGAATAACAGAGAAACCTACCCAGGCTTCACAGGTGGGAGGTGAAGAAAGAGAGTGGGACTAGTACTGATCCTGTTTAAGTCTCTGGAGCTTTGCCATTGACTTCAGAGGGAGCAGAACCCATCCCATTCTTTTCAGGAGGCTGCAAGTTAATTAATGACTGTAGAACTGGTATAGCTATTGCTTGTCAAACTGATTACTGTCCCTAGACAATTACAAACTGTGAATATTAGGAGATCCTGCAGCAGAAATGAAGATTAGCAAAACCAACCAGGCCTAATGGCCTTGGCAGTTCTTTGCGATTTAAGGATGCTGCACTGGCAGGCACGCTGAAGTGATGATAGTGCATTGTAAAAGTAGATGCTGTCACCATCTCTGGGTGTGCCTTGGCTGGTATTGGTGTACGGTGAGGGCATTGCTGGCTAACGTCATCCAACTAACTCATTCCACATCACTAAGGCTATGATTTTTTTGGCACCTTCATCTACCACTTCTGGTGCTGACCCCTGACAGGGACAGGACGCTATAAGAAACCTGGGGCCTGATCCAGTGGGCCCCTTCCTTTCCCCCTCCCCAGTTACGTGTTTGGAGATACCCTCTCTGCTCAAACTGAAGCTGCCCCGTCTGCAGTAGAGACTCACCAGGAGCCGGGAGCCCTAAAAAAAGCCCTTGGAAAGAGACGGGAAATCAGACCCTAAAAGACCCAAGTCCCATTTCCTGGTGGCAAAAGCGATTCCTTGGTGGGACGCAGAGCGTAGAGGAAGGAGGAGATGGTAGGTGGGGGCTCTGGCACCCTACAGCACGTGCCAAGTGCTCACCACCTTTGGCAGCTGACGGATGTACGCTGGCTCGGTCTCTCGGACACAGGAGTTTCTTGAAACGGCCTAACTGCTTTCGTAAGAGCTAATGTTAAGACACAGCAGCAATCCCATTAACAAGCTCTGGTTTAACCACAGCATGCCACAGATCATTGCAAATTGGAAAGCTGAGAGTTATCACTGGCTCTTCATCTTCATCTCTGGCTCTTCTTGTTTTAACCCTTTCTACTCAATAGCTTCATTTAGCGATGCCACTATTCCTCTTAAAATTTTTGCAAAGCCCATGTAGTTTGCCATGTGTTCAGTTAAAAAAAGAGCAGACATCAAAGTTTGTAAAATGCCAGCAGCCCTGTGATGAGCAAAGTCATACTCTTACAAAGCACTGTTGCAAAGGATGGATGGCAAAACGTTTTTTAGCAAGGAAACGGATTTCAGTTTCAACTGCCAGGGGTTATTATAACAGTAAGTAAAGCTAAAGTAAAGACTTTGGAAGTGACATTGACAGTGTCTGTCTTTTCAAGCATGACCGTTACCAGCTTTAGACTTTTCTTAAATTTCCAGGCATTATTTCTTGATTTGCATTGCACTCTGAACGTTTTATAATGGCATTGGAAAACGTTTTAAATGTGATAATTTTTTAAATAAAAATGTAGTTTATTGAATATTGCGCGTAAAATATTTTTTCTGTCTAAAATGTCAATATTTTTAACCTGAAATAAACCATGTAACAAATTCATGTATTCTGGGCAGTGGAAATTATTTCCGTTAACTCTCTTTTCTGCATATCATCAATTTGCTTTTTACTCATGTTTCTCCTACTGTCGCTGTAAGCTTACTTGTTGTTTTTTCTTTCCTTTTCTTCATGCTGTCGTTTAGAGCCCTACAGAGAGACAAGTATGGGAGTAAAGCTAAACATTGCATATCAAATGTAATTTTTTTTAGTTCACTTTTATTGCATCACATATAGATGATGTAGTTAATAAAGGAAATTCATCCCACAGTTTTGAAATCAAAAGAATATGAATATACATATGTATATATACTTGTATGCGTGTGTATGTGTGTGTATATATATATGTACATGTACATATATATATATATGAGATTAGATGATGCTTTCTTTATTTCTAATTTTTGTGGTACCGTTTACCCAGCATAGTTTCTCATATAACTGTGCGTATGATTTTTTTTAAATGTCACATTTTTATTTGCGAGGTCATGGCATTTTTATAAAGCGTGTTTCATTGCAGACCCCATTTTGTTCTCACCTGCAATGCCTCCATTTTATTTCCCCACCAAACCCCAGCTCTATGCATTGGCAGCAGAAGTGCAGCGCTCAGCACCTCAATGCATACATTCCTCCACGTGACCATCAGACAGACGCTCTTGTACCCATCACCCATTACATACAGTCGTCTCCCCAAAATGCTCACTTTTCATTTCTCCCCAAGCATCGTGACTCGGTTGGAGAGCTTCCACCATGAAAATCAACGGCTTTGCTCTATGTCTGTGATGGCTAGTTGATTTTTTGGCATAGGTCCCTCGTTTGTTGGGAAACCCAGGATATGGCAGCACCCTCTAAGCTTCAGAAACCTAAAAGGTGACCGACACATTCACTCAAAAGCAAGAAGAAAGCCTGCAGTAGTGCTTTCCAGCCCTTGACATGCAGCAACTACTCCATCGCAGATATAGACTGAATCCTGTATTTTCAGAAGGTACACATGCCATGTACCAAGCATGGTATGAGCAACTGTTCATCTGAAATTGTCAGCTAATGGCTCCTCTAATCCACCGCGCCTTGCTGGGAATTGCTTGCCATTTTTTGGCAACATCCGAAGCCCTTAGCTGAAAGGTCGATATGTTATTTCACACATCCCCATGCCTGCACTCCTTCCAAGGAGGCCAGTAATCCCAAAAAAAGAAAGTGTGGCGGCTTAACTGCTGGGCCTGATTTTCTTCTCCCTTGCCCACTCATGCTGCGTTGCTCTCAAAGTGCTTCCCCGCCATCTCCCGTAGCGTGTTGGGAAAGAGCTGAGCTCCAGCCTTACATTGACGGTGTTGAGACACCTATGGAGATGCAATGGGCAGTTAGTTGGGGGGCACCCCAAGACCCCATTACTCCTTGCAGGTTTCCCTGAGCCCACCTTACCATGGGGGTGATGGTACTTGCTGTACCCTCAAATGAACCCTCTGCTTTAGCTTTGCAAGTGAAATGGGAGCTGTTTTTAAAGGCTTCACAAGACCCCACAGCAACTGCCTCCAACATCGATTGTATTAGAAAATCCCCACCCAGCCAGTGCGGAGTAAATAATTTTGGCCGTGCCCTTGTGTCGGGAGAGGTAGGGCATTTAGCCGTGTTCCCAAATAGCCTGGTCCAGGAAACACTTTGTGCCTCTGCCTTGCTAACCCCCAAATTGTGCCATTCAGGCCTTATGCCCTTCCCCTGGCAGCCTGCACAGCAAAAGGGGAGAGCAGATTTATCTTTTTTCCTCCTGGAAGGATACACTCCCAAAGTTTGGGCAAGGGTTAACCTGGGATGCGAATACTTTTCCCTTAGATGGGGGGAGTTTCCCCCTTCCTCCAAAGTACCTGGAGCCAATGGGGACCAGCCCAGGGTCACCTATTTCTCAGCTTCCCTAGAGCAAAACGCAAGAGTTGTATGAGGTGCTGACCAGGAGAGGTTATTCCTCCCTGCTGGCAGCTGCCACATCAAGTTACATACTTGACGGCGCTTTCCATTTTTTCGGTGGGAAGACCTTAAGCTGGTTAGCTGGAGCTGAGTCCTCCTATTTTGGCCGCGACACTCTCCTTGCTGCCGACCCCCAGCAGCCACGGCAGCCTAGGAAGGGGGTTTGAGTGTGCACGTCCCGCGTGAGTGTCCTGTTTGTACAAGTCACCCTCTCTTGTGTAATGTTTTTCAGAGGGGCTTCTGAACAATGCCAGGGATACAAGTGTCACGGATACTCTACCACTGAATGGTAATCACGGCAACAGCTACAGCATCGCCAGCGGCGAGTACCTCAGCAACTGCGTGCAAATCCTTGACCGCGGGTACAACCACACCGAGAACGCCCTCGAGAAAAAGATCCTGAAGGAACTCACCTCCAACTACATCCCTTCCTACCTGAACAACCACGAGCGCTCCAGCGAGCAGAGCCGCAACCTGATGAACAAACTCGTCAACAGCGTGGGCGGAGGGAGCGAGGACGATGCCATCGTGCTGGACGACGCCACCTCCTTCACCCACGAGGAGAGCCTGGGCCTGGAGCTCATCCATGAGGAGTCGGACGCCCCACTGCTGCCCCCCCGGGTGTACTCAGCGGACAACCACCAGCCCCACCTCTACAGCCGGCGGCGCATCCCGCAAGACAACAGTGAGAGCTTTTTCCCCTTGCTGACCAACGAGCACACGGACGACCTCCAGTCGCCCAACAGGGATTCTCTCTACACCAGTATGCCCACGCTGGCTGGCATGCCCATGACGGAAAGTGTCACCGCCAGCACCCAGACCGATCCCCCACCAGCCAAAAGCAGTGGTGGCGATGCCGACGATGTTTATTACAAAAGCATGCCCAATCTCGGCTCCAGGAACCACGTCCATCAGCTACACACTTATTACCAGCTAGGTCGAGGCAGCAGCGATGGTTTTATAGTCCCGCCAAACAAAGAGGGAACCCCCCCGGACGGCAATGCAAAAGGACCCGCTCACTTGGTCACTAGTCTATAGAAGATTCAGCAAAAATTAAGCAAAGAGACAACAAAAAGCCCCTCTGTAATGCTCGGTTTACTGTTCTGAGTTAATCCAAACAGTGGTAATATTGTGTGTACTCCTAAATCTTCATGCTGTTCAAAAGGAAACTCTCGGACTTTTTTTACTGGAATTTTTAGGCCGGCCTGGAGAAGACAGTAACTGCTGCCCCCTCTTCTCCCCCCATCCTCCTTCCCTCCAGACAGACTTCATTATGTTAATGAAAGAGATAGATAACGGCACACTTCGTGGCCTTCTCAAGTTATGCTGTGTTTGTTTAAACAATCCTTGATGCTGTGTTGCTCTTAATACAGAGGACCTGATTTAAGAGGGAAAAAAAGAAACCCACAAAAAAAAAAGCAAAGAAAAAAAATAAAGGCCAAAAATGTGCATTTGAAACTAGTAGCGATGACGCATCTAGGTGGGAGCGCTGCACAAAAACAAGCTAGCAAAACTCTTTCTTACCAATCCAGATCACGTCATGGGTTTTGGTCACTCACAACTTGGTTTCACCGCAGTGCCCTTTGCTGCGGGAGCAAACAAAACAAAAGCAAATTTAATGAGACAGAAGGGAATCCTAGAATTCTGTGCTAAAGGCATATTTTACGTTTTGCTGTATTAACGGATGATAAAAACTAATGGCAGAAAAAGAGAAGCAAACAATTTCTATGTAATGTACAGATACTAGCATTGCACATATAGTCTGCTTTCTGTTCCTCCAGACTTGCGTCCCTGTTAATGTAGTGGAAAAAAAAAAATAAGAACTTTTTTCTGTTGTGCTGGTCTTGTAAGTTTGTCTACCAGTAGGAGCAAGGTTTTTCATAACTCCTCCTTTTTTCTTTTTTGTTTTTTAATTTTGTTCTGTCTCTTCCAGCCTCTCCCCTCCATCCCCTCCCCATCCCAGTAAAAACATCTCACTGCAGGGGAAAAAAAAAAAAAAAAAAGAATATCACTTTCTAAGGACCATTTTTAGTAACCCCCATCACCATTTCTTTTCAGCCAAGGCAGTGTTTTTTATTTCCTCACTGTATAACTTTCTTCAGCCGGTGTATTGCCGGCAGACCTTTTAGCAGACTAGAGCAGGGCAAACTTCCCCATTGACATTGCACAACAGATTGTGATGATAATCCTGCGAAGCATCTTTGGCGAGCAGCCCCTCAGCCAGGCCGTGGGGTCACATCCAGGAGCCGAGAGGTTTGGGTTTTTTTTATAGTGGTTGCGGGGCTTCTATAGGCGACGGCCATTTCCCTGGAGGAGTGAAGGGCCTTCACGGCTCCATCTGGTCCCCGGTTTAGGCACTTGTACTGCAGTGGTTAAGAAGAAAATCGATTGACGTGTAGTAAGCGAAAAAGTATTTTGCAGTGATTTTTAAAAAAAAAAGTTTTCTGTTCATTATTTTTCCTAACAGGAAATTTATTTATTTGACAGGATTTTTAAGTAACATAGGCTTTCTGGAGGTAAATTAGCAGCACGGAGTATGAATTCTTCTTTTTCTCTTTTTTCTTTTTTTTTTTTTAATTTATGATCCATTTTGTACGGTCTCAACAGTTGAATGACCTCATTACTAATATTTGTTGTAAAAGTGAAGCTTGTTTGCCAACCAATAAACAACTGATCACGATTTAGAAGATACTGTATGTATGTACTGTACGATTAATCTCTCTTTTTCTGTTGTTGTTCCTCTCTCCATTACTGTCTTCAGTACGAGTCTCCACTCCTTTACGGCATGGGTGAGCAATGCCAAAGAAAGGAGGCCTAAGCTGAGTGATTTAAGCACAAAGGTTGCGCAGCTACAGCTGACTAGAAATATCAGGGTAGCGGTACTTGTTTAGGGGCAAGAACAACACCGGTCGACATTTGTTGCAGATGATTCTAGGTCTGTTTTGTGCCTACTGTATAAACTAGCTGACAACACGCGGATCATTTGAGTATAGTATTTCATGTGTCGTACCTTTTAATCATTGTAATGATTATTTTTTTTTTTATTTTGGTTCTTCTGAGATTAAAAACTGCTGGTAGCATGTCAAAGAGTAAAACAAGTCCCCGTTAGGCCTCCTCGGTCATTGTTTGCTGTCTCTTTATTTTCTTGCTCTGGGCATATGCAAAGCACCATCGCTGTCCTCGGCCACATCACCCCTCCTGTCCCGCCACTGCTGATGGCTGCTCTCCTCCAGCTGTGCTTTGTTGCTCTCCTCCAACCTCCCCCTTCAAATCCCTTGGGAGGAATTAGGATACATCATCAAGATCTAGAAAGCCACAAAATAGACTAGAAAGGTTGACAGCAAAAATAGCCACCTCTGGACATGCTCGGTACCGATTTTTCATTACACGATTTTTCACAAAGCCTTGGGCTTTGGGGTCTGGTGCTGCCTCCATCCAAGCTGCCTTCATCTAACTCCCATCAAGCTGGGTAAAAGCCAAAAGATTTGGAGCAGGCAGGTGATGAGACAAGATATTCCCAGTGCTGAAGGATAAATGCAGCAGCGGAGGAGCTCCGCTCCATCCCAGGGCTATCCTCTCGTGAGGTGATGCTGCTTGGTGCTGCTCAGCAGGGGCTTGTTGGGGGGAAAACACAGGGGGTGGTGGTATTTGGTGGTATTCATGGCCTACAAAATCATCTGGTTTGAGTCGCCTGAGTTCTTCCTGCAGTCAGGCAATCAGGCCAAAACTTCTTGGGGAGTAAACTTCATTTCTGACCAGACACTGATCACAGCTGTGTCTCTTGCCAGGTTTACATTTTGGCAAGGGAATGTTTCCTGTCAGGAGATTGGGAATCAGCTGGCTTCATAGCAAAAGAGCCACTGGCCAGCCGGATCATACTCTTGCTCTTGATGCTGTCTCCCTGTTTCATATTATTTTCCGTGCCAACAGCAATAGAGCTGGGCAGTGTGTAGTAGACCTATGCATGCAGGCAAAGCAAGCATTTCAGACCCACATGGTCATACCAATCCATGTAGCAGCCCAACGGAGGCTGCTGAGGCTTGAAATACTTGAAGTACCTCTTATTTTGGAAAAAGTAAAATCTCTTTTACTGTATTAGACTCCAAAAAATTAGTTTTCCAGGGATATGGTGGGATTAAATTCATGCAGAGAATGAGATACACCATAGCAAATATTTTCATGATAAAATGGGAGGCAGGTGATTAACATGACATTTACCAGCATGCCTGAAACTATGCAAGAACAAACCAGTGGTGGATTTGCTATGGCATGATGGTGTTCTACTGAAAAATCTTTGACTTTCTTTCCTCTGAACCATTGTTCATCCTCAGCCTTTCATATTTATCAGTGGACAGGCTGTTTTTTCCCCTCTTCTCCATCCCTTCTCGCTTGACCTTCTCTCCAACATCCTACTATGCACTTTGATTGCAAAAAAACGCTGTTTATTTTCAAGCTGATTATTTCCCTCACCAGGCTGTTCTGGCACTACAGAATTCACTGTTGGTGCTTTTTAAAGCTTTGGAAACAGCTGAATCACAAAACAGGGGAAATATATTTTATTAATTATATTAAGCCAAAAATGGTTTAAGACTAATTTAGGGGTCTTTGGGGGGGGGGGGGGGGGGGGGGAG